AGGCACACATTTATATACACGTGTTAATCAACGTCTTGTCTGTTTTGTAATTCGTATGTAATACTTTAATCACATATTTGTGAAAACCTAAAAACAATAAAAATTCTAAACAACACAATAATTAAGTAAATTATTATAAAATGTTGATAGCATATTCATGATAGCAGCCATAAGAATAATACTTCGCAAATTTAATAGCATAGAGAAATGCTTATGAGGCACAGGTAACAAAGGATTCCAAATTGTTACTCTATATACTTCCAGTTAGCAAAACAATACTCATGAGAGGGAACTACATCAATATGAACAATGGATAGGTTATCTCCAGGTAGCATTAGTGAAGGTTTCTATTATCTTTAGGTGGGTTGCAGAGGGAGGGGTGAATTCAGGATGCTGTATCCTCAGCAGAAGAGAAAACTCGCCGGACAGGCAAGCAGCAGGTGCACTTACTAAAGGCAAGGGTCAGGCGCCTGCCGGCCCCCTGCAGGGCTTCCCGGAGTGCGCACGGCAGCCTCCGGCCAGGACGCCAGAAAAGCGACAAGCAGCGCTCTGCAGGAAGCCCCGGACCCCAGGAACTGCAGCCCTAAGAGACGGACTGGGAGGCAGCCCCAGAGGAATCCAGGGGCGGAGGGGGCAGCTTCCCGAAAGGCAGCTGGCCGCAGGCGCAATCCGGGACCCTCCCCGGATGTCACCGCAGAAAGTGTATAGAACTCAGAGGCAGGAACGCCTCCGGGCTTTATTTACCAGTCTTTCAAAGGACGGCTTTGCTCTTTTTGCTTACTGGAATGTTAATTCACGGTAATTTAACATTGGTGGGCTGTGTGCGTGAGGAGGTAGGTAACAGGACTCTAAGCAGCAGCCACTCCAAAGAGCTCACTGAAGATGGTAGAAAGGAAAATGGAACTTAAGTGAACTGGCTTATCCCCCCTCTCCTTGATTTTAATTCCACTTATTTCTCCGTGTGTTGTGGGAGAAATGTCCACACACTAGAAGAGGAACCTTCCTTCAGTCAATCTTTTTTTTAATTTTTAAATGTTTTTATTTATTTTTTTAGAGAGACAGCAGGAGCAGGGGAGAGGCAGAGAGAGGGAGACGCAGAATCTGAAGCAGGCTCCAGACTCTGAGCTGTCAGCACACGGTACTCGAACTCACGAACCATGAGATCATGACCTGAGCTGAAGTCAGATGCTTAACCGACTGAGCCACCCAGGTATCCCTCCTTTAGTCATTCTATAGGATGATGAGGAGCATGGTGAATAAGCAGCTTGTGCTCTGCGGTGTAGAACCTTTAAAGTAGGGGAGCGGGGTACTGGTTGATGCCTGCCAGAAGGACTGGCTGGAGGAACCTGCGGGGATGGAGGGAGATGGTATCTCTCCAAAGGTAAGCTCTCACTGGTAGCCTGAGTTACTCTGGGAAGACCAGGTCCTCACATACCCAGATTTTCATCAATATCAACTGTTACAAGAAGAAAACAGGAATGTCCTAACACTGTAAACGTCTTCAGGGGCTCTTGAAGCTATCTTGAACCTCAATGTGCCCTCCCCACTCTCACTTCTGAGAAAGTGGAGAAAGGTAAAATTCTTCCAGGGAAAGCCAGTACGTGCCCTAGATAAGCAGTGGTTATACAGCTATTGCCAACTTTCATACACTTCCTGTTCAAAACAACAAATGGCACCTCTGGCAAATAAATACAGAATAACAAAACCAACTTAGTAAAAGCAGTTGAAAACATCCAGAAGCCCATTACTCCCCCTTTTCTCTGAAATAAAAATCTCAATTTTCCTATTTAAACAACGTAATAGAAAACCACAAATAACAAGCTAAGTCATATTTGATAGAATTTTTCTTCCCCATATCAATCACTTCCAGTCAGGAACCTCCCGGTTTATGATTTTTTGGTAAAGTTTTGCTTACAGGAAAGTGGGTGATAATCTGGGGTAGATCTACCCGTTCTGCTTGCTATTCCTGGTCTTTTTTGATACTCAGCCTGTATCCGCTCCCAACTATGGTCCAAATTAAGGCATTTACAAGTATAGACTAGAATCAAAGAAAATAAAGACAAAGCAGAGAAAAAAAGTGTTAAGAAGGCAGACAACAAATGAAGGTGAAGAATTTGGAGCCTCTTTTGTTTGGCGAGATCTTTGATATGTGCTTTACATTTTTAAAAAATGAAATGTTGGGGGCACTTGAGTGGCTCAATCAGTTGAGCTCAGGTCATGATCTCAAGGTTCATGAGTTCGGGTCCTACAACAGGCTCTGTGCTGTCAGCACAGAGCCCACTTTGGATCCTCTGCTACCACCCGCCTCCCTGTACCTTCCCTGTTTCCACACTCTCTCAAAAATAAACATTTTAAAAAAAATGAAATGTTGGGAAGGCACCTAGGTTTTTTTTTTTTTTTACTAATAATACATAATAGCATAGAATGTCTTTTAAAAAATAATAGTCTATTAACACCATTCTGTAACTCAAGTAAATCAGGAATTGGGCAAAATCCAGGAGTTTAAAATGACTTTAGAATCTATTTTGAAATGTATTGGGATTTTTTTTTAGAAGTAATGTATACGTTTTAACTAGTTATTGAGACTCTTCAAAATGTGTAAGAAAAATCAGTGCAGGTTGAAAATGTCCTTCCTATAATTCTCCCTTTGGGTATTTACTCTGTCCCTCTCCCGAGCATATCCCTCCTTCTTATCTCTAATTCTCAAAGCCAGGCCTCTACTACCAGGTGTGGAAGATGGCATTCAAGCCCATATGGCACAGCCTCTTTATGCCAACAGGAGAAAGCGGTGGCTCCATTTTAATTAGCCTTCAGATGGCCCCTGGTGGAAAGCTGGGTTTCCTAATCAGATTGGGAGAGTGGGACAGGTTTCTAGAAGAACTGATCCCTTCACTTCAGGCTGAATGTGAACCCAGGCCTTAACCTTGCACGCTTTGAAGAAGGTGAGGCTTTACATGCGTTCATATCCTCTACTGGGCCTCTTTCTGGCCACCAGGCATGCTGTTAGCAAAATGACAAGCAGTCCTGCGATACTCAGGCCCACAGCCACAGGGATTTCTCTCCTGTTTCTGTCACTGAAGCATTCATCCGCTGCAATTGAAGTCAGAGTAATAGGTGTTACAGGCTGGCCACAATGCTGGGAAGTGATACTGCCCCTGCCTGCCTCAGCCTGGCAGAGAAGGAAAGCCAGGGACAGACAGAGCTTCTGGGCTTCCCACCTGCTGCCCCACACAGAGACAGGTGAAAACAAGGAGAGGGTCAGCGCAATGATCTGAAATGTGCAGTGCTTGTGATCACTTATGGACTATATTAAAATGCAGATACCCAGTCCCCACACCCAGGAAATTATGACTCAATGGGTTGGAGGTGAGGTCCAGGGGATTCTGATGCAGCTGAGGGGCAGATCCAACTTTGGGAAACATTGGTTTGGTCTAGAGAGTCAGGATAAGAACTATAATCCAGGCTAAGTTCTGGGGTCATGTTTCCCAACTGTGGAAACAGGGACCTGTGCCAAATTGCATGGCCAAAGTTTTCTAGTCAAATCCCACTTCTTACAGGGGCTGCTGAACAGTCTGGGGCCAGAGAACCCATTTTCAGGCTCTGGGATTTTAGCTCCCTAAACTGGGTTGAGAATGTGGGAGGTTGAGAATTGGATGAGAGGGTGAGGGAGGGAGGGGAAAAAATGAAAAGATAGTTTTTCTACATCTCCCTTTGGGCACTGCCAATAGAGGCCAGGTATATGTTGCTGAGAGGTTTTATTTCTCACCTCTCCCAGTACCAGGTTTCATACACCTGCTCACTGCCTGCTTCACAGAGGTTCTGAGCAAGAGGAAGAGTAGGTGCGTACCTCATTTTTTAAGATCACATAATTAATTACAGAGGCTTTTCAAATCCTCATCATGAATTCTTAAGTTTCCCCAAATTAGAAGTTTTGAGATAAGATGACAGAGTGGGGCCAACTTACTAAGAAATTTTAATATTTTTATCTTGGTGCTGTGGTAAAGGTCCAAAACAGAGGCAGAGATTTTAAGACTCAGAGAAAACCTACAGAAATCAGGGGACCCAAGGCAAGCCATATTTTATTCCTTCCTCTGCTCAATGCTTCCCAGCAAGTATATCAGAAGTTTTTTGTAGGCACATCTTCAACTTTGTAATGGAACTCAAAGAGAAGTTGGATTCACATGACAGAAATGTAAGTTACCACTAATCTTCCAGCTAAATCGATTTATAAAAATTGAGAGGTAGTCATGATGTCATTAGTTATTATGAGAGTAATGTTTTGGAAACTGAAATTCAATTCCTGCACATATGGAGAAATCCTTGTAACCCATTTTCCCGGCGGGGAAAAAAAGATTTTTCAGAAAGTCAGCTTCATCTGTCCCTGGCCTTCTTCTTAGGTCCCGCTTCCCTCTGTGATGGTTAAAACTCAAAGCAGAAATTGCATGGAAACTAAGACCAGCCACAAGGAAGCTCTAGTCAGGAGAACTGAGCTCATAATTGAAAAGAAGGTGCCCAACAGAGTGTATTTCTATATTGCATATTTCTCTTTTCCTCCTGCAAGTGGGAGAGAATCTATTCGGAAATCTTGAATTTTAGATATTACTAATACTCAGGATCTTTAAGTCTCCCAATGTACCTGAGTTTACTAGCTTTTTAAAGGGGAAGTTGTAGGTGGTATTTTCTGACTTTTTGATTCAGTGAGCAAGTGAGTATGTATGTGTGTTTGTATGAGTCAGAATACATGTTTTAGTCATACAAGGAGAACTTATCCTGCTGTGGGAGGACATGGGTGGGTTACGATGTCTGATTTTGAGGTTGGTTGACTCAGAGGAATGGCAGGAGGGGAACTTGGCCCTAAAAGCTTTGTGGAATCATACTGTTCTAGGAAGCTCATGTGATTCTTGTCCCTTTGACAATTTCACACACACACACAAAACAACTTGACACTATCCCTGGGTCTCTGAAGTTTATGTTTGTGACATGATGAAGATTTAACTTACCATTTCCAAAGTGGTCATCTTCGAAATCAAAGGCTTGAAATTGAACATTCATTGTTTTCAGTTGAAGGTGGGCTGACAGCTGGATGCTCTGCTCACTCACACACTTGAAGGAATGTCCAACTGCAGTCTCAAACATCACCATAGCACTTTTCATTCCTTGGTAAATTTTCTCTGAAAGAACGAAGATAAAATATAGACACATCACAGTCTTGGCATATAACCAATGAGTTCCAGTGGTTACTCCCTTTATTAAATGGCCTTTCAGGGATTCTGCCCTGTCCTCATGAAAAACCACTCTATTGCTCTTTGGAGACTTTTTCCCAAATTCTGTAGCATATGGGGGGCAAATTCACATAAATTAGAATGTGACAACATTGAAATGAGAATTTTTAGAAACTTCTTCTTCAGTTGTTTTAAGTCATTGGGGGCAGGTTGGTGGGGACTATTGTCAGTGTTTGGGGACTACAGAGAAGTGCCCAGAAAAACTTCAGAAATAAGAGAAGTAAGATTGCTCTCTGCGACAGTCACATGAACCCTTAATGAATCAGAATAGACATCCACAGTCTCCAAGTGGAGTGTTTACATATTACTAGATTGTATTAATATAGCAAGAGGACAGGCTAATCCCATCATTAGCAGGGGTTGTTGCATCCATCCACATGGAAACACAAAGAAGGGAGAGGTTCATCTCTGCCCATCTAAGTGCTGCTGGGGAGAGAAGATCCTGCTCAAGGACTGGCCCTGTTTTCTGACGGGTACACCCTTTTCAAGGAAGCGTATGCTTCAGGGCAGCTGGGGCTAAACATTTTAATCATAACTAATTCCATTTGCTCTAATTTTACATTCATCAAACACCCTTCTGATTATACTTTGGCTTCTTGAATGGGAGAAAGTTCACTGGCCAGAGGACCCAACTGTCTAGTCCCCTTGGCTGTGACTATAAGAAACAGTTGCATGATAAATGCACAAATTTGCATCCTGATTTTATACATTAGTTTCATGACCTTGGTTTAACATCAGTCTCCTTGAAGAAACAGACAATATGTAAGGGGGTGCTGACAGCTCCCACGATTGAGGACCAGACTATGGACCTTAAAGAATTTACCAAAATTGTGCCTGCAGGGAATACCCACAAGCTATAAATGAGGGAGGTTGAAAGTCTCCCTCCTTTCCTGCCTCTGTGGGTCTGTTGCCTGTGTCTAAGGTAGCATTCCACATTAAGGGTCTGCTTGCCATGTGCTGGGTGCTGTGCAAGTACTCTACCTGTACTTCCCTGTTTAATTCTCATAACAACCATTTGAGATTGGTTCTACTGTCTCCATTGTATAAACAAGGAAATGGAGAATTGGAGAACTGATAACATTCGCCTAAGATTCTACAACTAGTAAGTGGTATTTGGACTCAAGCAGTCTGATTCTAGAGCTAGCTATCTTTTTTTTGTTTGTTTGTTTGAGAGATGGAGAGAGAGCATGAGTAGGGGGGAAGAACACAGGGATAGAGAGAATCTTAAGCAGATTCCATGCCCAGCATGAAGCCTGATGTGGGGCTTGATCCCAAGACCCTGGGACCATGACCTGAGTCCAAATCAACAGTTGGATGCTCAACCCACTGAGTCTCCCAGGTCCCCCTCTGAAGCTTGCTATCTTAATCACTACCCGGTTGTTGTCTCCTGCCATTACTGTACTATTTACTGTAGACTCTTCATTTGTACATGCAAATGTCCTGCATGATGTACTGAATTATCCGTATACTACTATATCATGTGTTATATCCCAGGGTAGTTGTCTACTACTACTACTACTGTTACTACTGCTATTACTCCCACTAACATTACAACAGTCACTACCACTGTAATTATAACTAAGTACCGTTACTAATACCATCACCATTACCACTGGTGTGCAAAGTGTCACTATTGTGACTACTCTAGATCCTGCTACTACTGCTGAGCCTGGATTATTGGGGCCTAGAATTCTTTTATCCCTTTTCTCAGCCTCTAACTTAGCTTCTGGTCTGACTTACCCCTCCCTTGCCTCTTGAGATATCACTACCCTATTCCTGGCTAAAATTTGGTCCGTGCCTAGTAAAAACATTAGCTAATTTGTGTTAGCATTCATATTTATTCCCCAGCCTATATGAGTGTACTTGTCTACATGAGTTACTATATATGAAAATGAATTGTCAACTATGACTTCTTCCTTACTTTTAACCAATAATCATTGAAAACATCCTCTTGAACAATATCAGTATCATATAGGTAATATTTTAGATAGACATTTCTCCACATTTTCATTTCCTGACAAGTTTCTTTAGTATAGATTCCTTAATAAGATAAGTTTAAGCCAGTCAAAAGATAGAAGTTTAAAAAGGAGAAAACAGACATGAAAACTCTGTACAGTACCTCCACATAAGAGGTGCTCAACAGTGCTTTGTTATCTAAGTCTGGGCTTTCCAGAGAAATGTTTGAGCCCTCTGAGAAATTCTCCCAACTCAACTGGGAGCATTATCTTTCTAAACATGAACTTTATAGGAGTTCTCTCAAATGGCCCCACTGTGGGCAATTCTCTATATAGCAACTGAACTGAGTCTTTATAATTGTAAATCTGATATACCATTTCCCTATACCAAACTCTCCAATGACATCCTTTCACCCTTTAGGCTAAAATTCAAGGTCCTCACCTTGCCATACCCACATGCCCTACATGCTCTGGCCTGGATGCCTCTCAGATCTACTCTTCTGCTTTGCTCACTCTCTTGCTGGCCCCTGAACACATGAGCAACTTCATTCCTTAGGACTGTGTATCTGGTTGTTTTTGCCACCTGAAAAAAGCTTCCCCAGGCCCAGATGCGCCCAGATGGGGATAACTCTTTGCTCAAATATCACCTCTTCAGAGAGGCCTTCCTCCTCAGAGGGCTTCCCAAAGGCCCCACTTAAAATATCTTTCCAGTCCTTTCCACCAGGACCTGCTTGTGTTTGCTCATAGAACTTAATACTACTTAACTGGCTATTATAATTTAATGTGTCTGTTTATGGTCCTTTCCTCACTTCTAGAATGTAAGCTCCATAACAGCAGGGACTATATGTTTGGATAATATGGATTTCTACTGTCTATTAGAAGGTTTGGCACCTACCTGGCACTAACTACATTTTTGTAGAATGAATGCATGATTCCAAGAGTCTAGAATGAATTGCACTATCAATATCAAATCTGTCCAAAAGTCACTAAACTCTTTATTGTTGCTTTAATAATCTCTGCTTTAATGATATCTGACATAATATAGTCCAATCTCCTTGATGAGCAAACTGAAGCAAACAAAGATGTAATAAGTTCTCCTGGTTACCCTCAGTCTGTTTCTCCAAAGCAGCATCAGAGATTAATAAATTCAATGGACTGAAAACTGAGCTAACCAGAAGCACAGCACCAGAGCTGGTGGAATAGCCTTCTCTGACTACTTACCTGGATTTGAGACTGTCAAATAGGCTCTCACTTCACTGATATAATATGAGTTTTCATCCTGTAAAACAGCAGTGTGTTAACCTTTGGGCAATTTGTTTCTATGTTTATGATCCTGATTTATAAACTTTGTTTATTTTAACTATTAAATCCTTGATATGGGGACTTGGAGGTGTGTTGGTATGGAGCCATAAATGTGTTTGAAAACTTCAAAAAAAGTAAATATATCACACAATAAATAAATAATAATAATGGCTTATCCCTGGCCCCAAATTTCTGTACTATATCCTTGTTACTATAGCCTAAAATTCAAGTTCCAGCAGTCCAGAGTCCCTTCAGTTGGGCCATATTTCTTCCTGTTAGAATGCATATACATCTGGAAGATGGAGAGGCTGGAGGGTATACATTAAGCATTTACTAGAAATTAATATCTTAGGGTAGAGATTCAAACTAAGACCACTCATCTTTAAGGCTACAATGGGTAGACTTCATGGGGCTCATAAACTCTTTGGGTGTGCAAAATTTTACATGCATTTTCCTGGGGAGGGTATCAATTGCTTTAAATAGACTAAGGAGTTCATGTCTCCAAAATGGCTAGATAGGGCCATCATGAGGGATTCTGGAAAAAAAAAAAGATTTCCTCTGAGATCACTGGGTATTCTCTAGAAGAAGACTCCAAGTGATTGTGTTCAGAAATGTAAGGCAGTGTTCCACATTTTATTCAGGAATTGGTTTTTTTGGAAAAACAAAATGAACCATTACAAAATACCCTATAACATCCTGAGAGACTAAAGTTGTGAAACATTAAAGGGAATTGAATTGAGATATGAAAGGGTAAGTTGAAAGAGGAGGTTTTGAGTTTATTTATTTATTTATTTTTTTATTTTGGGGGGAGGGATCTAAATAGGTGATTTACCATTATTATTTGTAAACATTCATTAGAAAACTATCTGTAAGAGTGAGCAAAACCAAAATCAGAATCTGAAATGGAATTACCTTTAGAAGTTCCAAGTCTAGCCATTAAAGAAATTTGGTAATAATAATACTGACTATATTATAGTCCATTTGCATATAATTTGTAGATTAAATGATGATTCCCTACACAATACAAGGGTTCCAGAAATACAAACTATTTTAGTAAGGTAAGCTAGCTGCTATTGATACACTCAACTCTAGATCCTATAATTCATTGAACAGCACCTACCACATACTGGCTTCTTACCTTGTGCCAGGCACTGGAGCAGATATTTCTATGCCATGCCTTACCTAATTCTCACAACTACAAGAAGAAATATAGGCTCACTGACTTGCTCAAGGTCACAGCTCTAATGGGTGGCAGGGGAAGATATGACCCCAAGCTTCTTGTCTCCAAGTCTAGTGTTTAACTCCTCTTATATCCAATCCAGACCAGGCATTGTTCTAGGTCCCAGAAGAAGACCTGGCTCCTTCCTTCTATGTGCAGTCTTAGGCTTCAACGGCAAGGTAAACAACATTCTGGGACCATCCATTTGTTCTATACAAACATCTGTGACCCAGGCCTTTCTTGGGTCGCTTTCACAAAGCACTTATTCAGGTTATTCTTTATTTGGGGTCCTTTTTAGCATACAAGAGACCTGTACTTCAGGGCTCAGGGTCATGGTAATAAGACTCCTCCTGCCCTATCCTAAGAGCAGAGAGGATCCTTTGAAGGGATTTTAGCAGAACAATGACATGAGCATGACTTTGTTTATTGAAATTGCTTGGGCTACAGTGTGAGATTGCTTTAAGGAACAGCAACAGAGCAGTGATGAGGCCCCTCTGAGGTCCATAGGAGACCTCCCGGAATCTTCCACTTCCAGTGGCATCTCCTTGATCTATTCTCACATTAGGAAAAGCTTTGTATTTCTATAAAAGCTTCACAGTTTACTAAATGCATGCTTTCACCTACATTGCCTCCTTTGAGCCTCACAACAATCCCCTGAGATAGAATAAATATTATCAACCCATTTGGCAACTAAGAACAAAGAAGCTCAGAGGAGTTAAGCATCTACCTCTAATTCACATTCTCTGTGGGCAAGACAAAACAAAATCTGGTCTACAGGATCCTGCCCTACATTTTCCTCTGTGGATATGTGCATTTAGACAAAAAAATTCGTTGCACAAGAATTTTCTTTCACATTCCCTGAAATGCAGGTGTCCATATTTAGCCATCTACTGAAAGCAGGACCAGCTACACAATTTGTGGGGCCTAGTACAAATGTGTGGGTGTCCACCACCAATGAAAAACAAGGTTGCAGAACAAATCAGTTGGTTATGAAATGTTATAAAGAGAGTGGTTAAACTCATATTTGGGAGAACAAAGTTTTGCTAATCATTTTCAAATACTAATTTAAAAATATTTTTTTGTTTCCAGGTAGCCTAGTTGAGTTGTGAAATCTTTGTGAACGTTCCAAAAATTTATTTATTTTTTACTTATTCAGCAGGATGGAGAAAATTATAACAAGACTTACCTGTTTGATGTGATTAAATGAAGGAATCCATGTAAAAAACTTATCACAGTCTTCACTCAAATTTTAACCAGTGTAGGAACACCTAGGTGGCTCAGTCGGTTAAGTGTCTGACTCTTGCTTTCAGCTCAGGTCATGATCTCATGATTCATGAGATCGAGCCCCATGTCAGGCTCTGCGTTGGCAGTGCAGAGCCTTCTTGGGATTCTCCCCCCCTTTCTGCCCCTCCTCCACTTCCTTCCCCCCCAAAATAAATAAGCATTAAAAAAATTTTAACCAGTGTTATTCACAACAGTAATAATAAACTCAATTGCTCCTTTTTAGTAAACTCTCATTGTGCTTAATGATCATTTTTTTGCCTATTTCCTAGAGCTCAGATCTACCACAGATATAAAGAGAGAACAAGCAAGTGAGCTGAGCTTCAATAGTCCTACTAATTAAAGAAATAGCTGAAACCTCAGCTCTGGGGGATGGAAGTCAGGTGGGTACAGAGGAGGGACTGGAGGGTTTGGGAGCTTCAGGCAGATGTCAGACTTAACCCAAAGTCTAGGAGAAATTACATTATACACATCAGGTACTTTATAGTATATACTTTCTCCTTTGATGGGCACAAAGTGATTCTGTCAGATCATTTTTTGTTTTTTGGTTTTTTGGTTTTTTTGCATTTGGGGTTCAGGTTGAAGAGTGACAAATATCTACCATGCTAGATTCTTGAAAACAAAGTGAAAATCTTTTGTGTACCCATCAGCATTGACAAAAGGGAGCTAAGGACTCCTAACAGCTAAATGTACTTCACTACTTACAGTGTGTGCATTTGAATGCATCACTTACAAAAGTCCCATTTCACCATTCAACAAGTGGGATGTTGACACAGTGGCTCCTCACTGCCAGTGTCTAAGAGCTCTGCAATATCTCATCAGAGAGGTCCTCATTCTTCAAGGGACCTAAACATCCTCCTTAGCAAAGGACCAGGTCCGGAGCAAACCAGCCAGTCAACCTGCTCAGGAAGGCAGCATACAAATGACCTTGAGGCCCTGGGTCCTCTCCTTAATTTCAGCAAAATGCATTGTGGGAGTTTCATAGTCACAGATATTCAGGATGTGGATTTTGTCTTTAGCATCATCAGGCCATTTTTGCTCAGCATTGTTGTGACTATCTCAAGAAACCCTTGCTCTGTATATAGAAAAAGGAAGCCAAAGAGGCTGTTTCTTTGATGCTGCTGATCTACTTTTTGGCAGCTTGGCCCAGAATCTCTGTGAAATTTAGATTCACACCGTTATTGATTTATTTCCTCATCAAACATTTGCTAAAGATATACTATGTACAAAGTCAGGGCTGGGCACTGTGAATAATCACAGACATGCCTTCAAGATGGCAAAATTTGCAGTAAGTGCATTAATGGAGGTCAGAGAACAACCAATGGAGGGTCAGGAAACCAAAAGAAGAAAGTCTCCCAGTTTTGCCTGGGATGGAGGTGGGGGCTGGGGGTGGGGAGTCTTCATAGGGTGAAGATAACTGAGGCATTTTAAAGCATGAATGCAAAAGGGCCTGAGGAATGGAAGGGGCATTCCAGGCAGAGGGAAAAGCATAAGGGAAAATGGGAGCATGAAATGGTACAGCATGCTTGGGAAGTTCTAGATAGTGCACTCTGAGGGTGTTGGCATTTGAACAATTCCCAGGAGTCTATAGGTTCATGGGGCTCCATGCCCCTGTAAGGCTCTAGATAAACACCAGGGTGGTAGACAGCATTAGCTTTCCAGGCCTTGGCTGACCAAAACACTGCCTGACCTAATGACCCTCCCCCCGGACCACTGATTTCTCCCATGTCCTGCTTCAAGTCAGGGCTGGAAGTCTTGAGCTGCCCTGCCGACCAGGTGGATGAAAAAGGGGCAGTGTTGAGCATGGAAAAATAAACTCTACACAAAGTTACTGAAAGATGTTCTAAAACAAACTATCCTAACAGGAAGGAAGTTGTGGGGAGTCGGGGAAAGGAGGTATATTTATCTTGCACCTGAAGGGTCTGAACAACTTTCGGCTTTGTCACCTTAATCAAATGAGACACTGATATGGAAAGGTTTTCAGTTCTTTAAAGAACGATATGAGAGAAATGAGAAAGGACACCCACTTCTCCTACCCCACTATGGGCCAGATGCCACCCTCAGCACGGCCACATATGTTAGCCTCTTTCACCTCACAGCAGTCCAACAAAATAGGGACTGGTTGGCCCCATCGTATAGAGGAGGAAACAGGCTCAGAAAGGGAGCTTGTACATGATCACATAGAAATGACATGGATAATTTAAGTCTCAACTGAACATCATCAAGGGACAGTTCAGGATGCAGATTTTTCTTTACATTTCTACCATTGGCAGTACTTCAATTTAAAAACTTATGAATTGTATCCAAAATCTATAAGGAACTCACCAAACTCCACACCCAAAAACCAAATAATCCAGTGATGAAATGGGCAGAAGACATGAACAGACTCTTCTCCAAAGAAGACACCCAGATGGCAAACAGACACATGAAACGATGCTCAACGTCACTCATCATCAGGGAAATACAAATCAAAACCATACAGAGATACCACCTCACACTGGTCAGAGTGGCGAAAATTAACAAACAAGGAGACTATAGATGCTGGTGAGGATGTAGAGAAACAGGCACCCTCCTACACTGTTGGTGGGAATGTAAACTGGTGCAGCCCCTCTGGAAAATAGTATGGAGGTTCCTCAAAAAATTAACACTAGAACTCCCCTATGACCCAGCAACAGCACTGCTAGGAATTTACCCAAGGGATACAGGAGTGCTGATGCATAGGGGCCCATGTACCCCAACGTTTCTAGCAACACTTTCAACAATAGCCAAATCATAGAAACAGCCTAAATGTCCATCAACTGATGAATGGATCAAGAAGATGTGGTTTACATATACAATGGAATACTACATGGCAATGAGAGAATGAAATCTGGCCATTTGTAGCAACATGGATGGAAGTCGAGGATATTATGCTAAGTGAAATAAGTCAGGGAGAGAAAGAGAGATATCATATGTTTTCACTCATATGTGGAACAGGAGAAACTTAACAGAGGAACATAGGGGAGGAGAAGGGGAAAAAATTGTTAAGGAGAGGGAGGGAGGAAAACCATAAGAGACTCTTGAATACTGAGAACAAACAGACGGTTGATGGGGGTGGGGGAGAGGGGAAAATGGGTGAAGGGCACGGGGGAGGGCACCTGTTGGGATGAGCTCTGGGTGTTATATGGAAACCAACTTGACAATAAACTATAATAAAAGATAAAATAAAAAATAAAAACTTATTAATTATTGTACATGTTTTGAAACCTGTAACTATAGCCTGTCTTTCTTTTATTTTCTCCTATAATGTCTGGCTCAGTGCTCAGGACAAAGTAGGTGCTCAGTAAATTCCTATTAATAAAGTCTTAATTCAGCCTTGCTCACCAGCATCCATTTAACATTCTACAACTTGGTTCTCATTTATAACATTTATTATGTTATAATGAACATAAACTATTTTTCAAGGTTCTTTTTTTCTCTAGAGCGGTGGTTCTCGACCAGGGGTGATTTTTCCCCCAGGGGACATTTGGCAATGTCTAGAGATATTTGAGATTGTCACAAATGGGGCTGGGTGTTGCTACTGGCATTCAGTAGGTAGAGGCCAGGAAGACTGTTCAGTACTGCACCAAGACACAAGACAGCCCCCACCACAGACTTATCTGGCCCCAAATGTTAATATTTCTGCTGTTGAGAAGCACTGATATAGAGGGTAGCAACATTTGAAAAGTGACCAACAGTATTGTTGACACCATTTCTCTTGTGGAAGAATCTAGATGGCTTACCTGCCTAAATGCATTTCACACAGTCCACATGTTAGGGCAGAGTGTCCACAGGCCAAATTTGGCTTACAACTGTGTTCTGTTTGGCCAGCATTGTTCAAGTTTTCAAAACATGTGCTGCCAACATGTAAAATGAAAAGGTCTGAATTTCTGCCTTGTCTTGAGCAATCAGAATATCTGACCACACGGGTTTCTCATTACCTACTGAGGGAAATTATATGTAAACTATTCAACAACTGGTATAGCAGGACAGCAGTCATTCAGAATGTAGACCCGATTGTCCACCATAAAAGACAGTGACAGGGAGAGATGCCAGCCCAGCCACTGGCACCACCAGGCAGAGCTGACGAGTGGCTACCTCTCTGGCGAGAATGGCACCCTCTACCCCTGCCTTTTGTTGCCTCACTCCTGAGGCCTGTCTCTGTCATCTCACTACTCCAATGTTCTCCTTATGCAGACTTCATGTGAAAATGAAGTCTTCGTCAAAAGTGAGAAAATAAAAAATAAAGACTGCCTGTTCTTACAGAAAAAAATGTTTATTTGCCTATTTCTCTCATTATGTTCTATGTTTAGCACCTGTGATCTTTGAATTTGTGGCTACAAGTGGTTTAAACAAGTTCTCTTTTAAAATACAGAAATTCTCCTGAAGGACTAAGGCTGGTGGGAACTTTACTTTCTATATAAGCCTCTTTGCCTTCCTCTTGTTGTAGAGCTAAGGTCATCTGCTTATGGAATTGGTGCTGGAGAATAAAATGAATAAAGTGAATTTGGTTGGTGGGATTCTGGCAAAGCAGCTATTGCAAACTTGGGGCCTGGGATAGTGGTTTTCCTTGCTCCTTCCAGAGGTGGATGGATGGAGGAAGGTGCTGCTGGTCTTTCCAGCTCTATCTCCATACTCATTTCCTGCCCACACCTCTGGAGGCACAGAGATTTCCAGAAAGGCAGGGGTTCAACACTTGGGTGAAGTCTGATCAGAATCCAGACCCACGGCATTAGAAAGACAGGCATAGAGGGCATCAGGAGACAGAGAAAAGGAGCAAAAAGAGACATTGCAAGGTGCCAAAGAAACCCCTGCTCATAGGCCCGCCCAAGGCAGTGGCCACTGACTGCACAAACACTGGAGTTTTCTAATGCCTTCCTTCAGACAATCACTCACACATGCAATAGTCTGGGTGGAATCAAGCCTTGAGCTAAAGCATAAATGCTTGTGCCCTCTGCCCTTTTGCCTAAGCAATTTTAAAAGAATTCCTGACCCCTCAGAAAGTTTAAACTCCATTGTTCAGAAGCAGAGCACATATTCTGCCCTGAATGTTCTTCTGGTGTGAGAGAATACATTTCTCCCATTTGGTACTGAAAGGTAACCTCTGTCTTCTCAAGTGCATCTCTGCCTTAAGGAGAAAAATATGCACAAGTAGAATAATGGAGGATAAAGCCTTTGACATCAACTTAACATCAACATCATCAACAACAACAACAAAGCAACAATAGCCCTTTATCACATTTTGTTATGTACCAAGCACTGTGCTAGACAGTTTACACATTACCATTTCTGATTCTCCCAAGGGTCCCAATAAGGAGGTGTAATTATTTCCATTTTAAAGATGAGAAAACATGCCCCAACTAGTCCAAAACTAGTGGCTGAGAGCGAATCTTGACTTGTTTCAGATCAAAGTCTACACTCATTCCTCCCCAAGATCTCCTCCCCAAGACCGCTCTAATTTCAGGGGTCACATTTGACAGGTAAGAAGGAGCCTGCACCAAGTCTCAGCTGCAAAGGTCCCCTCAGCTCCTCCTTCCCGGCTCTTACTTGGCCTGTTTGAATGACACTTTGGGAGAAGCAGGGGCAAGTCTCTCCTTTGAGAGTGCGATGACCAGCATTGTATCCCCAAGACATTTTCTTACTTCAGTCACTGTAATCATGGCTATTAGCTATTGAACATCTACTTTCCAAGTATTGGACAATGCTCTTTACAGAGGTGATCTCTAATTTATTTCCTCCATTTTTCAAACATTAAAATAAAGTTCAGACAAGTTAGGTTGCCTGCCTGATGTCACAAAGTGAGCAAGTGACAGTGTCAAATTTGCACCCAAGACTCTCTGACCTCACTTGCATAATATTTCTACTCCACTTTGTTGTCTACCCTTTTCATAATATGGTCTGGGAAACCCAGTGCTGGGTTAGTCCCTAAATCTTGCCTGCTGCAGTTGGAAAAAACCCTTTGTGACATTTGATTGTGGTTTTAGAATAATCTTGTTTGTGTGTGCCCAGTGTGAATTTCTATGGGTCTGTTGATCTGTACAGCTTCCTCCTTTGGGTGGTTTGCAAAGGGCACCCGTGGCTGGATTCCCCAAAGCCAAGCCTCCCCTAAGAGGCACGGAAGCCCTTCTTAGGCTGCACAGAGTAGGATGAAAGGGGAAGGAGGCAAACATAAGATGTTGACACTTCCCTCTTCTCCATCTCCAGGCCCCTCATTCTTATCAGGGAATATCTCAAAAGGCCCTGAGACCTACTTCCTTCAGAACTTAAAGTGAAGTGTGTGGTTGCACCACTGGGCTCCCAGGTGAAGGAAAGGGAAAGTGATGTGAGCCAGTTGGTATGAAGGAGCTCAGCCCTCACCTTCATAAATGTGAGATTCACAAATCCGCCCTGGAAATTCAAGAGAAGGTTGGATTTTCGAGAGCCACAGTCCCCAGAGGCTTGTGTTGCATTGGGGTCGATGTTGAAGTATCTCTGAGGTGAAAAAACCTAAACGAAATGAAATAGATCATATCAATGAGATGTAGAAGAAAACTCTAGCTAGGGAACCAGAAGCAAAGGCTAGTAAGTGAGTCTGAAACTCAAGTCTAGTTTATGTTCCCTTGAAAGTTTCAAAGTCCCCAGAAAACTCCTATCATCATTCTAAACGGCTTTATGTTCAAAAGAGTTTTTAAAGAAGGAGATCTTCCAGAGAAACAGTTCCTTGATAGATAATTTATAGTCAGTCTATTCCTGATATACTGCATGCAATTTTCTTTTTGTTAAACTAAACATGTTAAAAGGTACTTCAGGAAAGCATTTGCTGTCTAATATACTTCAGTTTCAAACAAAAACCTGAATGTGGAAGTTTTATAAAACCTTTGCAAAAAAAGAACTACTTTTATGGTGATTCCTTTCGTAAAGCAAATAATTTCTGCCCTACCCTCACCCCTTCGAATCTTGTTTTTAATCTAGATTTTTTTTTTAAATGTTTTATTTATTTCTAGGAGAGAGAGAGAGAGACAGCGTGAGCAGGGGAGGGTCAGAGAGAAAGGGAGTCACAGACTGAAACAGGCTCCAGGCTCTGAGCTGGCAGTCAGCACAGAGCCAGACGTGGGGCTCGAACCCACGAACCGCGAGATCATGACCCAAGCGAAAGTCGGACGCTTAACCGACTAAGCCACCCAGGCACCCCTAATCTAGATTTTTGATACTAATGTCACAGCTGGCAAGAACTATGGAAACTAATCCAAATCTCTCACTTCACAGGGAAGTTGCTGAGGCTTGAAGTTATCAGGAGGGGTAAGACCAGGTTGGGCTCTACACTGATCTTATCCCAACACTCTGCCCATGTTGGCTAAAACTAAGAGGTATGCACAGTTACAATTTGTGTGTGTGCCTTCCTCTATCCAGTCACTATCATTCTCTGTTTTTATATGTATTCTAAAACAGATGCACCAGTTTTAAATATATAAGGTTTATTCATTTATTTTGAGAGAGAGAGAGGGGGTGAGTTGGGGGAGGGCAGAGAGAATCCTAAGCATGCTCCCTACTACCAGATCAGAGCCTGACATGGGGCTTCAATTCACAACCTGTAAGATCACATCCCAGGTGGAAATCAAGAGTCAGTCGCTCAACCGATTGAGCCACCCAGGAACCCCAAAACAGATTCAACTTTTCATGGAGCATCTTGGAGAAAGAGGAGTTTGCAACTCTTTATTTCATTAAAATATGACACAAGATGCAGGGGAATGGTTATTCTTAGCAAGACATACTGCCCTCAAACTTTTTGAAGATAGTCCTATGGCCCCAACTTACCGACTCTGTGTCTTGAACCATTAGCTCTATCCCCATCTCTGCTTTGATACAGAGCCTGCTTCCATTTAGGACTTGATAAATTCCGGTCTTGGCTGATGAAGGCTGAGGTGCCAGAGTGGGCCTAGGAACCATGGTGGCAGGTGAGTCCGTCTGGGTGGTATTGCGAACAGCTGTGGTTGCTCCTGGGGTGTGCGTGGGTTGAGTAAGCTTCTGACTGGTTGTGCTGTTATATGGTGAGGTGGACAATGTTGCTGGAAGGGTGGTCTGGTTACTGGGTTGGGTGGTTTTCCTAGTTGTGGGGCAGTTTCCTGTTGTGTGGACTGGTGGGGTGATGGTGGTTGACAGTGAACCTGGTGGTACCCTGGGGCCAATGGAAGCCTCAGTGCCTGGAGCAGCTGTGTGTGAGTTACTGGGTGTGGGCGGGGTTGTGACTAGCGTGTGAATCGTGGGGCTGGTAGATGGGGTACTGCTTACAGTTACCAAGGAAGTTGTTCCTAGAGTTTTTACTGTTGCGTGTGTGACTGGGGGCTCGGAGCTGGAGGTTGTGGCAGCTCTTTGAGAGGTGACATGACCATCCGTTGATCTTGCTGCTGAAATTTTGGGAGGTACTTGGTGAGTTGGCTGCAGGAAAGGTCTTGCTAACACCTGCACTGTTGCTGCAGTTGTAGGTTGATATTCCGCAGTTTCTGGAAACACTTTTGCTCTCGTTTGACTGCCATAATGCAAAATCACTGCAGATTAGGAAACAAAAGTGTTACCACACTCATAGCTCACATTAGTGAGTCCCTCCCCCCACCTCATTTTAATGTTTCTTCACTACATATTAACATGCATTAATTTATTTACTTCTCTCTTTGAGATAGTGACTTTGTCACCTTCATATACATATACTCAGAAATGTGACTGTTGGATCACATGGTAGTTCTTTTTTTTTTTTAAATGTTTTATTTATTTCTGAGAGAGAGACAGCATGAGCAGGGGAGGGTCAGAGAGACTGGAAGATACAGAATCTGAAACAGGCTCCAGGCTCTGAGCTAGCTGTCAGCACAGAGCCCGACTCGGGGCTCAAACCCATGAACCGTGTGATCATGACCTGAGCCGAAGTCAGACGCTTAACTGACTGAGCCACCCAGGTGCCCCATCGTATGGCAGTTCTACTTCAAATTCTTTTATTTTTTAAAAGTTTATTATTTCTTTTTAATTTTTTAATGTTTACTTTTTGAGAGAGAGAGTGAGAGCGAGCGAGGGAGGGTCAGAGAGAGAGGCAGACACAGAATCTGAAGCAGGCTCCAGGCTCTGGGCTGTCTGCACAGAGCCCAATGCGGGGCTCAAACCCACGAACTGTGAGATCATGACCTGAGTCAAAGTCAGAAGTTTAACCAACTGAGCCACCCAGGCGCCCCTGAACTCTTTTAAAGATAAATATGATCTATTTTGTTTTTTTCAAACATACTCAATTTACTTTTAATAAGAACACGCATATATTTAGATTTGGGGGAAATTTACAAGGATATAACAATGAAGTAAAGATCACCAAAGATTCTACCATGAAGCCACAATTTCAAAGTTTGATTTGCACTCATGTTTTTTATAGGGCTGTGTTCAAACTGCAGATATTTTTCTGCATCTAGCTCCTTTGTATGAGGTGTGGTACTAACACCGCAAAGTGATCGTGCTTAGCTAGATATCTAAGTACTGATGCTCCTTCATTCCACATCTTTCAGTGTGAATCCAGACAGTTTTGGGGCAGAAAGTGTTCCTGGGTACAGGCTGTTGCTGTGATACCCTGCTAGAGCTGGACAGCATGAATACTGGTAATAAAGACTTATACAGGGTTGTATGCTTTGCATACAATCATACAATCCCAGGTTTGAAAGTTCAAATCCTAATCTGATGTGTGAATTGTACCTATGAATATTTGTCATGTGTTCATTCAATGTATGCATGATTATCTCCAATGATAGGAGATTCATTTCCCTTCCATTTTTTATTTTGCTGCCAGTTTTTAAGTATATATATTTTGGAGGGGTGGTGGAAGAACAGAGAAAGGGGATGGGAGGGGAAGAATCCCAAGCAGGTTCATCAGGCTCCATACTGTGAGTGGGGGGCACACTGCAAGGCTCGAACTCACAAAACTGTAAGATTATGACCTGGGCTGAAATCAAGTGTTGGGCACTTAGCTGTGGCACCCCTTGCTGCCAGTTTTTGTAAATACAGATCAGTTCCGGTCTGGTTCCTATTGTTTGCTTATCCTTTTGAATGGCCCAGCCTTTTTCAACTAGGAAAGAAAATTAAGCCCTAAGTGCTCTGATGCATTTGGTGGGCTATCCTTCATAGTTTGGCTTAAATGCCAGCTCTTCAGAAAGTCTTCCCTGTCATCTTTACATAAAATCTCCACCATGCAATTCCACATCACAGTTGCCTGCACTGCACTAATCACAACTTGTAATTATGTAAGGGAATGGTACTAATATATTTGACAGTAAGCCTGGCCAGACAGTGTGTACCAGCACAATGATAGCCCTGATTATATGTTTATTTATTGGCTTATTTATCAACTGTGCATCTCTCCCACAGGATTAAAAGTAACTTCAATGTGAGAATTGTGTATTTTTTTCACCACCAGTGCCTATGCATGGGAAGTGTTCACATGAATTGGATGAATAGATGACTGGATGGGTAAATGAGGATAATAATACTGAATAGCATTGTAGACCTAGGATTATTGTAAGGCTCAAACGAGTTGGTTTAAGTGAAGTCTTCCTAGACCATTAAGCATACCTGTAGTGTGAGTTACTGTCACACATTCTCTCCTGGGCCATCTCTCTTTTGTTTCTTATTTTTTATTTTATATGTGTATATTTTCTTAATTTAAATTTTAGTTAATGTACAGTGGAATATTGGTTTCAGGAGGAGAATTCAGTGATTCATCCCTTACATAGAGCACCCAGTCCTTATCACAAGTGTCTTCTGGGACATCTCTTGAGGGTAGAAGGCCTCTGGCTCTTTTCAACCCAAATAGTTCTATCCTTGGCTTCTCTCAAACACATAGCAAATCAGAAAACTGAAAAAATGCAGATGATGTTCCTTGAGAGTTTATGATCAGGCCCACTGAGAGGTGGCTTTGTCTCTTCAATGCTGTGGTTTCATGGTATTTGCCCATTGTATTTACACAGCTGGAGCCAGTGCTGGCCACTGACTTGGGAAACCACAGGGAAAAGGGAAAGGAGTTCACTCTATGTCGATGTTTCACATCTAATCAAAATCATCCATAAACTCCTTTACTATCCCCCTTTCATTCACTACATTTCTAAACAGGTACTTTTCCTATAATAATAGCAATAAAATTTCCAAGTTACTGGACACTAACTATGTGGCAGGCCTTTGATCAAGGGTCATCTTTCACCAACTCCTCTCAAAAAACCCTCTGATGGGTTCTATCTTTATCCATTTTTCAGAGGAGAAACTCAGATTTAGAAAAATCCCATCAACTTGACCATAATCCTACAACTAGTAAATTGTGGGGGTAAGACACCTAGTAAATTCTGGAAGTGAGACTTGAGCTCCTGTCTGAACCAAAGCCTGCCCTTGGATTTGGGGTGTGTGGAGGTGGTGTGCATCTCCAGGAAGAACGGTGAGCAAAGAGACAAAAACAGAGAAGAGCAGGGTATTTCCCCAGTGATCCCAATTCACCAAACCCTCATGAGGTGGTGAGGCTTTCAAAGGCTCAGATGCTAAAATAGTGATAATTTTCCAGAAGAAAAGTTCTAAGTTCAAGCCCACTAGTAACACTTATGAAATATTTCTACACTGCGGGCTTAGAAAATGAGAGAGACAAGAGTAGCAGTTAAAATTGCCTTGAACGACCTTTTAGAAAGGCTCATTAATGAAATTAAGTTATGTGAAACTATTATTAAATGATTTTTTTATATCTAAAATGTTCATTTAGATAATTTGAAATGAATGATACATGAGAATTGTGGATTTTATGGGCTGTAGCTTTAGTTTGCAAACCTTCATTTTTTTATGCCTACATTGTAGAATTTGGAGCAAGACTTTCCCTTTCAAGGTTGTTGTGAAGGTCAACAGTTGTGGAAGATTTACTTTCATAATTCATCTGAGCTAAGCTTGAGTTGCTGGTTCCTCAGTCATGACCACAACAGAAACCCCATTAAGTTTATACTATTACTATGGAGAAAAAGAATTCACTCCCAGATGTACTTTCCAGGAATATCTTGTAGTGATAAACAAAGATTAATTCAGAGAATTCTGGGAGACTGGAAACCATTTGCCTTTTGTTATCTTAGGGAGATCATTAGATCCTTGATAAAATCTCACTATGCACAGCTTATGCTTATGAGCTAAAGCAAATCTTCTCAACTGAGTAGCATACCTTTTAAAAGGAGGAGTCTTTCTCATAGTGTAATTAAAAGTCCTCTCTCAGTTGTGATGAGTGAAATCAGACATCATTCGTGAATGCACAGCATCCCAAACAGGACAAGATAACTCATGGTACCCATCAAGGTGTGCTTGGTGTACAGGAAGTATTTGTGGGGTGGCTGGAGTTGATGGCAGTCCATGGTGTCTTGATATGGTGTATGGCTTTGCAGTGCACAGAAGGCTGGGCTGGCAGGTGGCTGGACCAAAAGTGTCAGAATGTGTTACAGATTGAACCAGAGCGTGTTCCCAGATAGAACTGGGAAATATTGTTCTAATAGACTTCTCCTGCCCTCTGTGGCTTCTCCCCTCCCCATCTCCCTGTAGAACTGTGGGGTATAAAAGACGGGCAGGAATTAGATGGATAACTGACAAGAGTAGGATGCTGTGCATTATAAAATATTCTAGAAAGTTCACATGTTTGTTAGGTACTTAATATAAATAATATTCTGGAAAATATACTGTTTTGTAAACTATGTATATGACCACACATATATGACCAATCTTTGTCAAAATTGGGTCACAGTTCTTAAACAGGACCTTTGGCCCTGTAAAGGTTTAGTTTACTTCATCAGTCTGTCTGAGACCCATGTAGAGGGCAGTGGGCAGAAGTGAGGGCAAGGCATAGCTCAGAATCTGTCTCAACTCTTCCTCTACTCAAAAGAATACAGCTCTGGAGTTCACATGCAGATTTGTCAAGCCCACACCCCGAATCTCCCAGCATCTTCTCTCCAGGATTCAGGAGACTCAGCCAACAAGCACCTCGGGACCAAGACCCATTACTTGGACTCCTCTAGATAATGAGCTGCAGGAAGAGGTGTGAGGTTTGGAATCACCTACAACCCACAGGAGCTGAGAGATGACTGTCAGCCCAGCCCTGGGAAAGTCAGTGACCATTCAAGGACTTTTTCTCTGGGTACTTTCCAGATGGCTGGTCCTTCCCAGATAGCATTTGTTTGGTTTCCTAGCCACACTCAATTCAACAGATCTGAGGAGCTTCTTCTGAGCCAAGCTCCAAGCCAGGCACGGAATCTTTGTTCTTGAGGGCTCAAAGCCTTGTGAGGCAGACACATAAATGGACCACAGTCCTCAATGTGACAAGACACCCCTGGGTGCTATGGAGTGTGGTGGGGAATCCAACACAAGGGAAATTCTTTAGGCAGACAAGAAAGTAAGTGGTATCCCAGGCAGGATGAGACGTATGTGCAAAGGCATGGGGCCTTCAGAGCCTGGTATATCTGGAGAACAGCAAGGGGGTAAGTATGATGGGAACATAAGAAGGAGGGGAGTGAGG